TTCACTTACTTTTCATCCAGTTTCTTTCTATATTTTGGAGGTACCTTGTGCAGTAAAAGCAGAATAACAGTCACGGTGATACCCTTGACAGTCGACCACTTCCTTTGGTAAATGAACATTGCTCATCTTCAAATTATTAGTTCGCCGAACGATCAGAGTTTCCTGACATTTTTTTAAGGATGTTTCCGTAAAGGATAATAATTTATCCTTTTTTTTAAACAAAATACACAGCATTTTTCGATTTCGGACATTATTTTTTTCAATCAATATAGCAATAGGTATAAGCAAGCATAAAGCAAGTGTGGTTCCTTAAATTAGCACAACGAAAATAGCACACATCAGAAAAACTAGAGTACTAAATTCGGGCCTATTCAGTGCTAATTTAGTACGAAAAAAAATAATTTATAACTATATTTTTAAAAAAATTACGTGCATGTGTGCCAGCTTAAGATTAAGCTGGCACACTCTAGTTGGTTGAGGTCGAATCTTTGAAAATCTAGTACCTCATATTTAGTGCTAATTTGGTACATTCATGGCACGCCTAAAAAACTAACAATGATGTATTTATTACGAAATAACCCCGGAAAAGTGCTAACTTAGCACTTGAATTAGCACACATACATCGAATCGACCGCGCGAGAACGGAATTCGCATGCGCATATTTAGTGCTAATTTAGTACTTCAGAAACGACGACCCGAAACGAATTAGTATCACATCAGCACAGAGTTAGCACTTGTGTGCTGGCTTAGTGTTTAAGTTAACAAACATTATCACCGATGACGCGATGAAACTAGAGTACTAAATAGCACACATTTAGTGCTAATTTTAGACGTTAGTTTGGGTTAGTTCGGGTTAGTTTCGGTTAGTTTGGGTTATTTTGGGTAATTTTGGGTTAGTTTGGGTTAGCTCTGTGCTGATGTGATACTAGTTCGTTTCAGGTCGTCGTTTTTGGAGTACTAAATTAGCACTAAATATGTGCATGCGAATTCTGTTCCCGCGCGGACGATTCGATGTATGTGTGCTAATTCAAGTCTTAAGTTAGCACTTTTCCGGGGTTATTTCGTAATAAATACATCATTGTTAGCTTTTTAGGCGTGCCATGAATGTACCAAATTAGCACTAAATATGAGGTTCTAGATTTTCAAAGATTCGACCTTATCCAACTAGATTGTGCGCAAGTAATTTTTTTAAAAATACAGTTATAAATTATTTTTTTTCGTACTAAATTAGCACTAAATAGGCCCGAATTTAGTACTCTAGTTTTTCTGATGTGTGCCATTTCCGTTGTGCTAATTTTTTAGACCTAAGCAAGTAGAATACACACATCAAAATGGTCTACTGAAGAAGATTAATGCCTACCTATATCTATCAGAAATTTGTTGCTGATTTTATCTACAAAATATTTAAACTAAACAAGCTTGCAAAAAAATCCGATATGATAAATTTCATAGGATTTGTTTAATAAATAATACCCAAATTTTCTTTAAAAAAGTTGTTTTGTCTCAAAATTCAAAGACAGATAGTTCTTGTTCCCTAGACTCATTTGATGAGTAGGTATGTACCTATATAAGGAGTAGAAAATACTGAAATTTCGACTGGAAGGACAGGTAAGGAGACTGCAGAGTCTTCAGCGTTGCCCCCTTTGGTAGATTTCTACTTTTCTGGTAGATTTTCAGCTTTTTTTGTAAAATTTCAGTAGACAGAGCTTCTAGTAGAAAATCTAGTAGATTCAGGTAGTTTTTACTTTGTTATATTCAGTTCCCTAAAATACGACAGAAATCCTAATATGGATTGTGGAAATAATTCGAATCGAAAAACGGAACATGCCCAATGTATTTTAGTGCGTAGTGTAATGTCTTGTTTTGGACTTTATTCGAATCGTTTTTTTCAGTTTCTGACTGTTTTCAACCAATGAAATTCGCTCTGACTGGTTTAGGTTTGAAACTAAAATCGCTATGACAGACTACGACTGTAGCCACTCCCAACTGCCTAATATTTTCCAACTTTCTTATTAAAGGCCGAATTTATATAGTCGTTCCTTGACTCTTCCTTGGCAATCGTGAGTTTAGAATGGACACTTGCTTCTATTTGACAAGTTAGTCATTTCGATTCTAAAGGTTCAAGGCTTCCTTAAGGTCTGAGAAAACCTCAAGGAGTGACTATAAATTCGACCCTAAAGAAATTACGTAAAGTTTGTTTCACGGGAGTTTGTACCTTTGACATCGACGATGTCATAACTTAGAAAAAAAGGTTTTTCTCCAAACGTCAAAAAAACGTCACTTTGTTGACCCCTATCAAGATGTGAGAAATTTAATTTCTATGCTGCTAGGTAAATCCAGCGGGTAAACACCTGTCGAGGTGGTAGAAGTTTAATTTCTATGCTGCTTGGCAACCCCAGCGACAGCAAAAGTACTTTTAGTGCCGCTCGTACTTTTACTGCCGCTCAAACATCCACTTGTCCCCGAGCTTACCTCATTAGTTTGGAGAAAAAATAACGTGTTGCATACGGAGTAGAAGCACTTTTTTGTGTAAAAAAGTAAAGCTTCTACTCCTAATAAAACAATATACTATTGTAGTGTTTTGTAGTAGATTTAATTAATATATTTTTATTTACGCGTCTTTTGACACAATCAATTTTTTTGAAAAATTCATTTAATGACATGTTTCAAGTACCGACGAAGGTTTTTGACATCATTAATTTGTTTCAGTCAATTTTTATTTGTTAAAAAAGGAAGGCAAATGATGTCAAAAGTACAAACCTTCGTGAAGCAAACAGTACATTTTTCATACGTATACAGGATATACAGGGTGTCAATTTGAAAACTTCCCACCCCAATTATCTCGGAGCAGAAAAATTTTCGAAAAAATCCCTGAAACACGTCAACTATAATTTGAAGGGGGATGAGTTTTTATGCAAAATTCATATTCCCTATTTCAACCCCCCAACCCCCAGAGTCACCCCTAGAAAATTTTAAATGGGAAGAGTGAGACATTATTTTGGAGGGGTTTTAATTCCATACATTTTGGTACAAAATTTTAATCCCTAAGTTCAACTGTTTTGGAAATATTGACAGTTGAAATTGACTATTAAAAACTGTGACAGGCTGTACAACCTAAACGGTTAATATATATGTAAAAATGTAAGATCGGTTTTCCTCTAAAATCAACCGTTTAGGTTTTACAGCCTGTCAAAGTAGCAAAAAAGTCAATTTTCAACTGTCAATATTTCCAAAACAGTTGAACTTAGGGACTAAAATTTAGTACCAAAATGTATGGAATTAAAAACCCTGTGAAATGATGTATCACTTGACCCCCCTTCCCATTTAAAATTTTCTAGGGGAGGGCTCTGGGGGTTGGGGGTTGAAAGGGGGGAGATGAATTTTGCATAAAAACTCATCCCCCCTCAAATTATAGTTGACGTGTTTCAGGGATTTTTTCTAAAATTTTTTTACTCCGAGATAATAGGGTTGGGAAGTTTTCAAATTGACACCCTGTATGAGATATAATTAAGAGTAGATTTTTGGTATTTTTCAAAACTGCTTCAGTAGATTTTTAGTAGATTCAGACAAAGAAGCTAGTAGCTCCGCTGAGAGTCTTATCATAGCTGGTAACTCGACACTAAACACTGCTTGCTCTGTACCTACTCTTAGGCTGCCCATGATTTTATAGTGGATTTTATACATAAGTACTATAGTAGGCTAGGCATACGTATATACTTTTTTTATATTTTTTTTATAAATAAATAATTGTTTAATTTCATATGAATCGCAGGAATTAAATAAATTTATAGAATACTGGTGATTCAATATAATATTTACATGGTAGAAACAATAATTGATTGCAATGTTAATAGAGTTATAAATTATGATTTCACCTCCGTAGTTTTACACGTATGTTTTTTCTTGTGAATAGATTGTCGAAAACGATTTCCTAAAAAAAAAAAAAAAAATTTGCTAGATGCATATATTCATAGGGAAATTACCAAAAACAATCGTCCGCTGCCTTTATGTCGGTGGAAAAGTCGTCCGCTGGTGCCTCCTAACGAGTTTATGCTCAGTACCGTTATCTTGCTTGATCCCACCAGCGGACGCCTTTTCCACCGACCTACAGGCAGCGGACGATTATTTTCGTAAATCTCAATAAAAAAAGTAGCTTTCATCAAAATTTCAAGCTTTAGGAAATAGTTTCCATAATTACGGTTTTCGTCCCTTTTAGGGCCATCAGCGGACGCTGATTCCACCACCGCCCACCCAGCAGACCATATCTAGGGTACTTTGTGAAACATAACCTTCTACTCGTGAAAGTTTCGTGCTTTAGGAAATCGTTCCAGATTTTCTTTTTTTTTCCCGACTTTGCAACCCCCTGGCAACCCTCTCCACCGCTACCTAGCCAGCGGACGCTCCTCTGGAATCTCATCGTCATAAATACTATAGGTTAATCATGAAACGGAGCTTTAGGAAATCGTACCCGTACCCTATTTTATACGCGGGAGGCAGGGGTATTAAGAAAGTTAATACGAAGCTTTTCCGGGACGTAGCAACTTTGAAATAGTATAACTTGAAATCTTGCTCCCTGAAGATAATGCATTTGTCTAAATAATTAGGTATACTAATGGAAGTTGAATATAATTTTAGTTTCAAATTATACATTATTAATCATATAACCTTTCACGATTTATACATGAGGTGATGATACTGCATATGCAATTTATAATTTAAATTTCTAAATAATTAGACGAAAATTTACTATAGGCGCCGGTCACAAATTCCCCTAGCGGCAGTTTTCAAAAGAATTAATATAATAAACAATTGGCCTTTTGACAGAAGTCCAATATAGTCTAAGGCCGGGATAGACGGGATAGTGAAGTTCCTTCATCATAGAGTAAGACCAGTATGGTAATTTATATAAGTGATATACTTATTATTTTTTTAGTTTGCAAAAAAATAAATACATAAGCGGCAACATCAGGAACAAACCTTTCTATTTTTATTACAGAATAAAAACATTTTATTACAAATAATTATTTTTTTTGCAGCATTCAGCAATATTCTAAAGGTTATCAACAAGTGATTTTGACTTGCAGTTATTCTTAAATTGTTACATTGTAAATTAAAATTACAATAAATATAATATTCAAGTCTTGAAACATCCCATAATAAAGGCATAGTTAACCTTGTTTCATTTATATCCTTTTGCCTTTAAAATAGTCCTCACTGAAAAAAAAAAATCGATTTTAATCAAGGAACGCTCGAAATCCGAAATAGGTAGTAGATACATACCAACCAGGAACATTTTCAGGATCGTCGCATTTAAATGATTCTTCATTATAGACGGTACCATTTGAACATGAACCTTTCTGAGGTTGGACTCCATTTCTAACCAACACAAAATTAGAATAAATTTGCTACTTTTATACCATATACAATAAAATAATCTTCACCTGCAAATATAGAACTTTTCACAATCTTCTGGATGTGGAAATGTTGGATGAGGTAATTTTCTACCGCCTGGACCCTGTACATCACCTATAAAAAATTACAAAATCAGATGCATGTTATATTTTTTTAGTAGTTACCTTCTGGACAAGAAAAACCATCATCCAAAGAGTCTCTTTTGCTGTTGGTACATTGTCGGTCAGTGGCATCAGGCCAAGCACATGTACTCGCAACATCATCATAGATAAGACCTAAAAATCAGTTGAATAATGCTTTTATTGGGTAATAAGGAAATTTGACCATATACCTGGTGGACATGGTAGTTCTATTGGGGTACCATCCACACAATTGAAGAATTTATCGCAAACTTGTGGATCGTCATGTCTATAAAAACCGTTGGCTCTTGGACAACCCTTACTAGGTTTTGGTTCCTCTGAATGGGAATTAAAAAAATAAATTGAAGAAACAATCCATTTCCCCAAAATGGATATCATTTGAAATTATAACTGAAACCTTATCATTTTGTAGCCCGAACCCCTTCAAATGTAAAATTGATGCAAGAAAATGGTCTGTCTCCAAATAGATTTAGCAAAACGAAGGGTTAAATAAAATCCTCAGATGGGTATTCGCCCATAAACTTTGTGGGTAACAAAGTAAGAAATTATGTTGTTTAGAGTGCAATCTGGTTCGATTTTATATTTTATGTTTTATATTTTATATTTTAGTGTTTTAAATGCTTTCCTATTTAGTTTTAATTTTAGTATTGGTTCCTATTTAATTATTTTTTATATCTTTTTCTGTATCCACATTCTTGTTATATACTTTACCTACATGTAATTACTGTTATAGTGTTTGTAGAGTTTTCTGAATAAATAAATAAATGAACAAATTTTCACTCATTGTTACAGTTGGTCTTTGGTTTTGGAGTCAAAAGATTCTCAATTTCTTCTTCAGAATCTGACATATATTTCTTTGAACTGTTAAAAGAAATTATTTTAAAAATTTAAAAATTCAAAATTAAAAAGTTTTATTTTTTATTTTAAAATTAATATGTATTATAATTATTTAGTCAATCACTTAACCGCATAAGACTGCGTCATAAGTGGAAATAAATGACAGAGATAAAACATGCATTCTTAGATACAAAGTAGTTGCTTTTAATACGGGGAACACAGTTTTATTTTGTATTTTTCTGCTCAAAATTGGCACCAATGACACTCCAACTCCAATATTAAGTTAATACAAAACTTTTCCAGGGGGCCAATTTTTGACCATTCGTAACTATAGAAAATCTACGTAAATGTGCGAAGACTACGAAATCCCATTTTTGAGTATTCGCATCTTTACGCATGCGCACATTTTTATACGTTTCACTGCGAGCGGCGAGAGACTTGCCAAAGTGTTGCGTATGCGCTGACTTACCTACATTTGTAGTTATATCAGCTGTTATTATTTTGTGATAATCGCAATACAAAATATGGAAAATGGAAATAGCAGAGCATCAAAATCTACCAAACAACCAGTATAACCCTCTAGATCCATTCATAGAGCTTAACCATCAACAATTTATTGAGTTGTTTCGATTAAGGGAAGAACTTGTTTTATATTTGATCGAATGTTTGGAACAACTTCCGTCCAGCACTGCGCATTACAGACTTCATTGTATAACTTTGAGGGTCAATTTCTCAATAGCGAGTCAACTCCGGGTTGGTTTTAGCCTCAGGGTGAACGTGTCCAGTTGCAATGTTGAGGGCCGGTTTCTCAATAGCAAGTCACCCCCGGGTTAAGCATAACTCCAGACATTGCAACTGGACACGTTGACTTTAGAGTTAAAATCATTCCGGAGGTGACTCGCTATTGAGAAATCAACCCTTACTTAACTTGGGGGTGACTTACTATTGAGAAACCGGCTCTAAATTTGTGTATCGCTAATTTGTTGCGGCTTCTTCTTCACATACTCCACAAGCATTTTTTTCTGCTTATCTGATGCACTGGTGCATTTGCTCTCCGTTTCTTCTTGTTTTCTGACATTTTTCACAAAAAAGTAAAAATTTGTCAAAAGTCGACAGTTGAAACAACCTATTTTCTCCATCAGTACTACAAAAATCTCTCAAATTGCAGTGTTGCCTGATCAACTCTGCGTAATGTTGCGAATGCCTAGCTCAGACGTCTTCCCACTCGCGCACGTCATCCAAAAATTGGCACAAAGAAAAGTATACGTGTCATATCGTGCGTATCGTTAGGCATACGCAAATAAACGTACATTCCCAAAAATTGGCCCCCAGGGACGTAGCAACTTTGAAATAGTATAACTTTAAAACTTGCCCCAATTTGAAGATAATGCATTTGTCTAAATAATTAGGTATATTAATGGAAGTTGAATATAATTTTAGTTTCAAATTATACATTATTAATCATATAACCTTTCACGATTTATACATGAGGTGATGATACTGCATATGCAATTTATAATTTAATTTTCTTAATAATGAGGCAAAAGCTTAGGCGAAAATCTCTATTTACTATACCTAAGTCAAAGGCTATGTTCCGATATCAACTGTCAGTACTGAATTTACTGGACACCGTTCGGATATTATTTTTAGTACATGTTTCAGTACTGAATGACGTTTTGAATGCGCTAGTGATGTCATCATTATTTACTGGACGGGGATTCTAGAATCACGATTCGACATACGACTCAAAAACGAGACGATTCTTTTCGACGATCCTAAGTTGGGATCTCATTGGAATCATACCTTACGAGACGACAGGGTCGGTGTCGAGTTGCGTATCGTCGTCGAGTTCGCGTATCGTCGTCGAGTTCGCGTTTCGTCGTCGAGTGGTGTGTCGAATCGTGATTTTAGAATCTCCCTGCTGTACCTTTTTTTCCAGCAAAACCGTACGCTGTTGAAATCGGAACGGCAAATGACAGTAAAATCAGCACAGTAAAATCCAGTAGGTACTGATAGTTGATAACGGAACATAGCCCAAAGCATCAAGGATTTGTCATTGGTGAAATTCCTTCATCATAGAGCAAGACGAGTATTCTACTTTGTATAAGTAGATATACTTATTGTTTTTTTAGTTTGCAAAGAAATAAATACACAAACGTCAACAACAGAAACCTTTTAATTTTCATTACAGAATAAAATAATTCTAAAGGTAATCAACAAGTGATTTTGACTTGCAGTTATTCTTAAATTGTTACATAGTAAATTAAAATTGCAATAAATATAATTATCAAGTCTTGAAACATCCCATAATGAAGGCATAGTTAACCTTGTTTCATTTATATCCTTTTGCCTTTAAAATAGTCCTCACTGAAAAAAAAAAAAAAAATCAATTTTAATCAACGAACGCTCGAAATCCGAATTGGGTAGTAGATACATACCAACCAGGAACATTTTCAGGATCGTCGCATTTAAATGATTCTTCATTATAGACGGTACCATTTGAACATGAACCTTTCTGAGGCTGGACTCCATTTCTAACCCAAACAAAATTTGAAAAAAATTTGCTACTTAAATACATACAATAAAATAATCCTCACCTGCAAATATAGAACTTTTCACAATCTTCTGGATGTGGAAATGTTGGATGAGGTAATTTTCTACCGCCTGGACCCTGTACATCACCTATAAAAAATTACAAAATCAAATGCATATTATATTTTTTTAGTAGTTACCTTCTGGACAAGAAAATCCATCATCCAAAGAGTCTCTTTTGCTGTTGGTACATTGTCGGTCAGTGGCATCAGGCCAAGCACATGTACTGGCAACATCATCATAGATAAGACCTAAAAATCAGTTAAATAATGCATTTATTAGGCAATAAGGAAATTTGACCATATAGGTACCTGGTGGACATGGTAGTTCTATTGGGGTACCATCCACACAATTGAAGAATTTATCGCAAACTTGTGGATCGTCATGTCGATAGAAACCGTTGGCTCTTGGACAACCCTTACTAGGTTTTGGTTCCTCTGAAATGGGAATTAAAAAAATAAATTGAAGAAACAATCCATTTCCCCAAAATGGAGATCATTTGAAATTATAACTAAAACCTTATCATTTTGTAGCCCGAACCCCTTCAAATGTAAAATTGATGCAAGAAAATGGTCTGTCTCCAAATAGATCTAGCAAAACGAAGGGTTAAAAAAACCCTCAGATGGGTATTCGCCCATAAACTTTGTGGGTAACAAAGTAAGAAATTATGTTTTTTTTTTTTTATGTTCGAATTTGAATTATCCATAGAAGGAAAATTTATTCATATAATCACTGCTCGCTCACACACAAGATTATCCCAATTCAGATTCTAAACCCAATAATTCGCGTGGATGGAGAGTCATTCTAATCACTACTACTATTCAAGTAGGTAGGTCGAAGGGTTTTTCTAGATAAATCTCGAGTACACTGTGACACTGTCTGCTATAAATAGCCCAAACCAAAGTTGTAGCTCAAGTAAGTCAGCATTAAGTCGATATTTGTCGTGTATGTTTCGATAAGTAATAAGTGAATCTATATATACTCCTGGACAAAATTATCGCACCACTACTGCACATATGCACCATAAGCAGTGGTGCGATAATTTTTTCCAGGAGTATATATAAAAATTAATGCTACTTTTCGTTGTAATTTTATAACTCAAGAACGGGCTCACCTAGCCAGACCAAATGTTTAGGCTTTGTTCGGACTATTTATTAGATGGTTTATGTGAAGTTTGCACAAAATCGGTCGAGCGGTTCTTCATTTATCATATTTTTGTAATAAATGAATTATTCAATAAATGGAGGATCATTTTGTTAATGGGGATTTTGCTGTCAAATTGAAACTTTTTTTGTACCAGCATGTTGTTATGTCATTATTGTGGTAATTTCATTACTTATTTTATTTATTTATGAAAAAAATTTACTAAGCCCGCATACGGCGCCATCTCTTATAACCGATACCAAGTTTAATTTGTATTTTGTATACCGCGCCATCTCTGATACCTGGAACGAAGCTCGGCATTGCAGATACAGTAGAACAATGCTGCTCAGGAACTGGAGCTATTTCGAACAGAACTATTCCACGATTCCGATCAGATAGAGTGGTGCAGAAAGAGTAGATCAGATAGAGTAGTGCAGATAGAGTAGAACAGATGGAGTAGTGCAGTGCATGCAGTGCAGATAGAGTGAAACAGGGCTGCGCTAGAGATTTTTTTTGTTTTCTTTACATTCTTTGAACATTCCTGTGCCTGAGTTTATTTATTTGGTGGTACAGTTTACAAGAATAATGCCCACAAGCTGCCTAAAAAAGGATGATGTAAAATTTTAATTTTAAGTGACTTCTGATCCATAGAGTAAACATTAATTTTCTTCAACCAAAGCCAAATTCACCATCGAAAAAAAATGAATTTAATTCAGCTAATAGATACGTTAACACAACAATTAATAGGTATATTTAATAATTCAGAGGCGGTACGAAGTTCGCCGGGTCAGCTAGTTTTATATAAAGTCAATGTTCAATAAAAGTTGTTAATGTTTGTGAAGTGAGTTTTTGTGAACGGAATCTGTGATAATAGAAATACACAGATTTTGTGGAGAAGACTGACAGTAGTTTTCCTAGCACTGAAAATTAAAAAAAGTCTTGTGAAAAGTTATAGGATGATATCAGACGAACAACCCAGGGGGGGAAAATACAGGGTTCTTCAAAAAGGCTTTCCTACTTGAACAATACCTTGCATAAAATTATGAAGATTTTAGCAAGAGTTTGCCGACCAATAGGATTATAGATTGCAATTCAGATCGCATTTTAACCTAACAGTCTACCAGAAGGTGAATAAACCGGGCCTTAAAGTAGTACAGTGAGCACAGAAATGTTGGAAAGTGGGACGACTACCATTCCACCTTAACCACGAATAATAAACAGATCCGGAAGTCAAATACTGATTCACTGAAACATGGAGGAAATGCTGCCAAGAGGTTGGAAACACCAACCAGCCAGACTTCAAAAAATACTGTCCAAGGATCCTATGAATCGACTAGGGAACCTTAAAAACCCAAGTGGCACTTACACAGATTCTGGAAGAGAGCATCTGCAGATCCCACTGCACGCTCATCTCCCAGAATCATTCGAAATCGGATCGGAAAGAAACCCACCAATTCATGATAATCACAAAATCAAGACTAGCTACTAAAGAGAACTGGGACACAGCGAAAGGGATCATAGCCTATGAAAAAATAAAATGTGCAGTAAACTCTTTTGAATCATTTAAATCGCCAGGGCCCGATAGCATTATACCTACTCTACTCCAGAGGGAAAAAATCCATCACATTACCACCACTCTGCAGATTACTAGGCTAAGAGCTAGCCTACCCACAGGATATATATTCCCATATCGAGAAGGGCCAGAATGGCCTTTTTACCAAAGCCTGGGAAAGACAATTCGCAGGCAAAAGCTTTTAGACCATTGAAAAACTCATTGATAAACATGTCAGGCAAACTTTTCTTAAAGAAAAGCCCTTACACCAAAACCAACATGCGTATCAAGTGGGTAAATCTTGCGAAACGGCTCTACACCACTTGGTGGCAAGAATAGAGCGCGCAAATGGTATAAAAGAGGTAGCCCTTGCAGCATTCCCCGGCATAGAAGTAGGGGCCTTTGACCGAACCTCGTTCGAATCTAGGAACACTGATTTGTCCAGACTCGCTGACGGAGTTTTACAAACACCATCAGCAGATGGATTGATGACATGATTCGTGGCAGACAAGTTCAGGCTACTCTTAATAATGATACAATAAAGATTTCAGTATCAAAAGGTTGCGCACAGGGTGGGGTCGGGTCCTATATCCCTTACTGTGGAACCTGGTCGTAAACGAACTCCCAGTAGAACCTAATAATAGAAACATTTATACCCAGGGCTACCCAGATGTCCAGATGATGTAGTAGCCATGGTCATGGGAAAACTTCTGCGCAAATGCAAACAGCACTTGAAATCGTGGAGAACTGGGTCGAAAGGGTAAACCCGAGTGTCAACCCTGAGAAAACAGCAATGTTCCCCTTCACGAAAAGAAGAAAACAAGACGATCTAGTCCCGCGCATATTGAATACGCCACCGACAAAGGTAAAATGCCGCTAATGGCCACCAGAAGAGCAGTGGGAAAGAGATGGGGATTTCTACCCCACATAGTATATTGGATCTATACAGTAGTAGTAAGACCCAGAATAGCCCACGGATCAATAGTTTGGTGGCCAAAAGTCGAACAAAGGAAAGCAACAATAGAGCTATTCAAACTTCAAAGATTGGCTTGTCTCTGCATAATGGGTACAATGAGAAGCACTCTTACTGCTGCTATGGAAATCATACTAAACCTCCGCCACTTGATATCATTATAAAAGCTGAGGGAAGAATGGGGGCCTACAGTACTGGGATCCAAGACGAATATCCGAAAACACCAGGATAATAAACATTGTAACAAACTCAATGTTCTCACTGTTTGAGATGAGGAGTGACAAGACCCTAAACACTTACAAATTCTAAAACAAATTAACTGAGAAAGCAAAACAAAAAACTCACTAGTTCAGAATGAAAGTAACTATGGTACACTGATGGCTCCAAACCCGACACTGGGAACGGTGCTGGAGTATATGGCTTATCCCCAAGTAATGGCTTTTTCCACTGGGGAAGCATACCACCGTCACCGTATCCCAAGCCGAAATACCATGCAATAGAGATATGCCTGCGAGAAAATCTGAGAAGGGGGTATGTACACAAGGTTATCACGATCTTTTCATAGACAGCCAAGCAGCTATTAAAGCTCTAGCATGCCAACAGATAATCTCAAAATTAGTGTTATACTGCCTGCACCCCCTTTCAACCCTAGCCAGCCATAATAAGGTAACTCTTGCGTGGTTGCTGGAGCACACGGGCGTTGCCGGCAATGAAAACGCGCCAGGCAAGAATCAGAAAGGCAGTTTATGGATCCTGAACCCGTATTCGAAATATCAAAAATCTCAATACGTGGCTGCTTAAAAAAGTGGATCCGAGAGGAACACAAAAACCACTGTTATCAAACACCGAGGCAACACCACAGTAAGGCAATGGTGAAATATCCTACGGCAAGATTAGCCTCTGAGATCCTAAAGCTCATGAGAGAACAGATCAGAATTGCAATACGATTCTTAACCGGTCACTGTACTCTGAGAAAACACTTACACAAGATGGGTACCTGACAAGATGTACCCATATTTAGACTGTGCGACGAAGATGAAAAATCAGCCTCTCACATCTTATGAGAACTCGAGACCTTCTGGAGGAGGTGCCCATCCAGGAGGAGGGTCTCCTGAAGACGCCAATAAAGCTACTCTACCTGGCGAAGGTGCCAAACCTTTTTTAGCAAAAACTTACACACCTTATTGTATCCCTTAATAAGGTAACTAGCTGCAGTGTCAGGATCAGACAGCATCAATTTTTTATTTCATTTCTGGATTCTAGGCAAAAATCTGATAACATTCCATGCATCAACTTAAATTGTACATATTGAGGATTAAACATAAAATTAATTTCAGCCAAATCGTTTAAAAAAACTTCATCTGTGTTACCTACGCTCTAGCTATCAAAAATACCAGAAGAGATAACGTTCTTTACCACACTAGATGGCCACTCTGTATGCATAACATCCAGCATAATTTGACAATAAGGTACTCACGTAGCTCTGTCCTATCATCACATTCAACATTTGCAGGAATATCACATCTGAAACAGAAAAAAAATACATAATAATAAAGTCTTCTTCACAGGGATGATCATGATATAGAGTTGATTTCTTAAATATTAACGGAGCTTAGACAAAATATTTGTTTTGAAATTTAGATAGGTAGATATAAAAAAATATTTTTGTTGTTTCTCTGAATAATTTTGGCTCCTGATTTGAAAATTCTTGCCCACAACAGTACTAGTGAATGTACCTACCATAAAATTTCAAGAATTTTCCCAAAATAGCTAATCCAGCACCCTAGAATGCTTAAGCATGAAAAGTACTTAGACAAAGGCGTCCAGAAGGAAGTAACTAACTCTCGAAATTGAAATCTTTAATGAGAGATACGAACACAAGCAGGAAGCAAGAGAAGCTTCAAACGGAAATGAAAAAAAGGGAGATGCAAAACAAGTATTACAAGCAGGCTGCGAAATACTCGAATTAAGAGTGACAGGCGTCAGGCAAAGAAAGAACCGAGTAGTACTAAGTTCGCCTTCGAGACCCAAGTTATACTCGAGAATATCGCCATATTTTCTTCTTCTTCGCAATTCTTGCCGGCGAGCTCTATTTTAAGCAATTTCTCTCCAGTGTAAGCCTGCACTTCATTTCGTCGATGGAGTTGTCTGCCTCTTGATCTGTGATCTCTGTCCAGCATATGGTCTCCATTTCATAAGTTTTGAGTTTCATCTTCCTGTCTTGCAAGGTGTTCTGCGACTCCATATTTTGTTCTTCGTGCTATTTCCGCTGTTTGGCTGCTTTTTTTTTGTGCGATGTCGTTTGGTTGGAAGACCAGTTTAGTTTCCTTTCCGGTGTCACATCTCCCTGTCTGCCTGCTATCCTGATTGGAAAAGGATTGGTGTTCTCTCTTCCAGTTTCACTCTCAATACGGTATTCTGAATAGTTATGAATAAGTTGTCTGTATAGTACTATAGTGAGACAATTCAAGAGTTAATCATTAATCTTTTCATGGCCTCTATGCCAATACTATTGAATTCCTCTTCATAGTTCAGAAAAGTGAGGTAGTGGGGAAGATAATATTCGTTGGCTTGTCCTAAGAGCTTGTTAATGGTGAGGAGATGATCTGATACTTATTCCTTCAAACCCGATATTTCCTATTTCTTGCTGGTTATTGATTTGTGTCTCCACGTCGTCGTCCTATTAATACACTCATCAAAATAGTCTAGGGCAACAAGAAATATCTGTCTTTCAATTTTAAGACAAAAAAACTTTTTTTTAAAGATAACGTGGGTATTTATTATTTATTGAACAAATCTTATGAAATTTATCATATCGCCTTTTTTGCAAGCTTGTTTAGTTCAAATATTCTATAAATAAAATCAGCAAAAAAATTCTGATAAGTATAGGTATTATCTTGTTCCCAAGACAATTTTGATGTGTGTATTTATGTCCGATCGACCAATAAAGTGCTATTTATAGAACAGTTTTGCGTCAATAAAGTAGCACTTTATTGTACTAGTAAAATAAAGTGCTACTTTATTTTACTAGTCAAATAAAGTGCTACTTTATTGCCTACCTAGACTACCTGACAAGGTAAAACTGGTCCTGGCAACCTGCCAAGGTGAAACAGGTCCTGACAACCTGCCAAGGTGAAACAGGTATACCTACGCGAATTTTACTTTTCTCATTAAATTTTTTAAATTTTTAACAAAAATCAGTCGCAATCCTACATAAAATCATGTATATAACGCTTACATAAACAGGCTTTATTGACTCATTATTTAATAGCCTCGCTCGCAAGCTCGCTCGGCCATAAAATTATTCGTACAATAAAGCCTTACTTTATGTACTTGTTATATAAATAGCTATTATTTCTTTAGTTACATCATCATTTTTTATGCCTGATTTTGATGGTACCGGGATTGATTGATTTCTCTCTATTCGGTTGTATTTCTTTTTCATCCGCTTAGAAGACTTACTTGCAACACCAATTCACTTGTTTGAGCGCCTCTCCTACCCTATCCTCTTTTTTGGTTTGATTCCTTACTACTTTTCCTTCGTTTCTGAAGGTTGTTGGTTTAATCTATCACAATTATGTCATCTACTTCTGATTGTTCCTTCACGCGTCTTCCAAGAAGCCTCGCAATTCTTCTCCAAGCACTTTTAATTGATGGAAGTAAAGCTTCTTCCTCCGTTCAAACTTGTTCCTGAGTTTGATTTTAGTTATTAATACTATAATATGATCACTGCATGTGGTGCATCTGGTGATGGTTGAGACATCTCTGAAGATGCATTTACTTTTACAAAAAGAGTAGTCTATTTCGTTCTCTGACATACCATTTGGTGATATCCAAGTCAACCAAGTAAATTTTTCCTGGTATTCAAGCCACTCTACCATCACATTTCTGGATTCGTATGAAAAGTTGTAAATTTTATATTCATAGACATCCTTGCGACTCAATAGGTTTCAATGAAGAATATGCTGCCCAACCAACACAAATATGTTAATTAGTGTTTTATATGCTGCTATATAGCAGTATCGTAAGACATTTTACTCGTATACAAATTCTTATAGTTATCTGATAGGCAATTATAATACACTTTGTAGCATTTTCAATTTCTTGTTTATATGCTACTGTGTTTTGCTCTAGTAGATATGATTCTATATAGAACTACAATGAAATAAATTAATAAACAGCTGTCTTTTCTGTGCCCAGATTTTGTTACCTTGATTACTGCCTTCTACTGAAAGTTTTTTGTGCAGGTTTGCAAGTTTTGTTGATTGATCTAGGAAGGTTTGATTCAGTACGGCAGGGCCCGCTGTTATTGATTAGAATCTTAGGAAAAGGAGAGATTTTTTCATCATCTCTGTTTGCAAATCTAATTAATAAATAAATAATCTGAGGTTATGATAATAATTGTTGTTTACTTTTTGATTTTTCATTTCCATCATGTCATTGAACAGCTGTTTTGTCTAGGCGTTTTCTTTAGACCTGTTCTACTTTTTGATATATGTTTTTCAATATTCACCAGTCATTTTTACACAACCAAACTTTCAGTTCGTACTTTTGGGGTGAAACTGAACACGCTTTTTTCTATAATTTTCTTCAATGTCAAAATTAGAAGTTTGACAAATGAGAGCCTTCTTCCGAAATCTAAATGAAGAATCAGCCCTTTTGATCTTGAGACTTGATACCGAAAGGTTGGTCTCGGCCCTATTTGATTTTGGGCGAGACTTTTTGGAATTTTGTGCCAGGGAACTCAAGGTTTAGACTAATTTCTTGTTGATAATTGTCTAGAGTCGTCCCTTGGTCATTTTGGATTTTGTTTCGGTAAGTTTTTGAGATTTTCTTCAGGATTATTAACCTACAACACGTGTTTCGTTTCTTCAATAGGACTGTTCCGAGCAGCTTTTGGAAGTTTAAGACTTCACCTTTGGTCTAGAGGATCCCTCAATTTGAGGTAAGATTATTTCTAATATTTGGGGCTCGATTTGTTTTTTTTATACGAACATCGTTATAGGGTCCTACTCTCAGGCTATAGTTGGACAATCCTAGTCTCAGGCTATAGTTGGACAGCTCCTAGAAAGAGATTCTAGACTAGATCTAGATTGCTCTTAGTTGGCTTTGGTAGCCTCCCTTCAGCAACCCTCTTGGTACCGCTCTGCTAGAACCACATTGAGTTCTACGTTAAACAGATACCACGTGGATAGGACTCATGACTCACTTACCATACCATAGTCTATCTACAGTGAGACCAAACCTGTAGATAATCTCCCTTCAAAACTTCTGCATACATTTGAAGATAACTAACACTTGTATCCCATGTAAGTTACACCTTTTACTATTTAGGCAAATCCTATGTAAATCACTTGATACTAAATCAGGTTCGGTAAGTGCCCCTTAAATAAAATTCTAGAATTTTACCCTGAGGTTGCCCTAACTATAACTTTCACCTTTCTGTGTTTAATTTGCCTCATGGTAAAGTGTAACCCATACTGTATTTTTCTTATCACGCACAAGTGTAAATACCAAAAGGTTTTTAGTCATGTTTATTTAAAATTCATATTTATATATGCATTATTTACATTCATTCTTTTGATAATCAAATATTTATAAATTGGTACAAGCCATAATGTATACACATTTTTAATAACCTCCTGGCTATCCCTATATTTTGTTATTATTTTCAATAAAGAAGCCAGATACATTATTGTACCTATTTAGTTGTTTTATTGATAAGCTCTCCAATTGCACAGGTTTTGTTTATAACATCATTAAGTTATCTTCCTAGTTAAGTCACAATTAACTTGGTGGCGTCCAAAGGTAAGATGTATACAAGGAACCCATAGACCCATGGCCTCCGAACTGAAGCTGACTAGCCGTAGCAGAATATTTAGTTTTATTTCCCAAACCTAATGTAATGGCCGACCAGAAGTGGCCTGCCAATATGGACGAATCCGATATATCACATTTGTCACCAAAAACACAATTATAAGACAAATTGGTCACGAATAAATCAAATCTAATACAAATTTGCTTAAACCTGGTTCCCCTCAAACTCTTAAAAATACAAGGTTGTCAGATCTATGTCTCATATTACTACCCAGTTACTAATCGTTCTGGCATATTCAAAACCGCGCAATCAGCGCAAAAGGGCATTAAAAAAAGGTAGTGATATTTAACAGTTTTTCTGTGAAAGCGCCCCAAATACTAGGACAATTTCAATAATCATAATAAAAATATTCCTATATGGAGACACCTACACCTTTTTGGCATACACTTGTATACGAATAAACATGACGAGACATAGAAACTTTCCTAATCACCATACATAAAAATTTTCACATACCTACTAATAACTACAAAAATAAATACAACGTGTAATTAAATAAAGTCATTCGGGCATGTGTTTAGGCGCTTTATAGTTCTTACTTTAAAGAAAATGTGTAATAGTCTGGCAATATTGTAAACGATTTTACCAGGAATGAACGAATACTATAGACAGGGCCGCCCAGGCGCCCACGCGCATGGTAACCGAG